CATGACATTCCACCGAAATAAACAGAGCCTGAAAGAAATTGTTTCCCACCTGCATCGAAAATAACGCATATCTGCTAGAGTAGTGCTTTTTCCTTTTTTGCTAGCGTATGCACGATTATTCTTTACAGGTGATACTTATCCTGTCGGATGCGCGCCTTCACAGACGATTGTTTTCGGGATCGACAGTTTTGAAGGGAATCCTGACCTACAAAATCCAAAATATAAGTAAGTTCTGCCAGTTCAAGGAACAAAACAGTATTACATGAATTGGTTGCTTACAGTACCGAGCTCGGTATGTACAGCGCCGGAATTGGACTCGAAAACTTGAAGATGTGCTGGAGCCATGACGAATACATGTATCAGGTACTAAGGTTATGAAACCTTTATCATAAAATTATCCTTCCAACCTTGAGTTGTTTTAAGAAAGCTTCAGCAAACTTAAAGGCACAATCCAGAATGAGCTTAGGTGAATGAATCCTATGACAGGTGGGATAGAGCAGCTCATCAAGGCCATAGATTCCCCTTTGACCGGGTCTAAAGTGGGCAACAAGGGCGCTAAGGGCTCGCAAGGACTGCTTCAACCGCTTCAATCTTTCTTCGCCTGCAACACGCTGACGTTTGGTGTTCTCTTATCAGTCGTGCTTTCACGCTTATTCACTCTTTTGGGTGCTCAGTCTCAGCCATTGCATTAGCACAGCCAAGCCGAATCCGAAACTGATTGATCTCTTCACTTCAGCATTTTCAATGACTTCTTTCCCTTTTTCTTTACTGCCGGGCTCACTGTACGATAAAATTTTCATTTTCGTGTGCGAGAACCACATCAGTTTGACCCTGGGATTTGCCCTTGACTCATTGTAGAAATCACACTCTTCGCATTTTGACTATGCATAATGTTATGTGCACATAAAAGAACATTCAAGATCAGTTGTAGAACCAACGCGACGCCCGGCCCTCGTCCGCTTATCCCAATTGCCTAAAATGGAGCATACCTTTCAGCACATCCCAAGGTGTTTGAGGTGGCTTGTGTTAAAGCATAGTCAGCGGCGCTGCTGCCGTAAGCCTGAGACGACAATCAAATTTTGACTCAAACATCATCTAGCCCAACCCACTTATCTTATCGCTTTTGGATCTGTTAATCGACCCCAGACGGAGAAACGATTGTTCAAGCCGAATTGTCCTCGTAAGTTTATTGCGTGGTTTATATAGGCGGCCACAAACCCCCGTGTTTCTCGAAGAAATTCCAATGGGTGGTTTATCCCCCCCCCCATTTTCTTAACAAATATGCAATTTGAAGTTATCATTTTAGAGGCAGAAAGCCTAGGGCCGGAAGGCGGCGCGCTTTTGATGAAGTCATCAGGAGGCATTGGTGGAAGAGCCTTCCTTGGTGTTACAACCACAAGTTCAGCGTGCTGAGGGTTTTGACCCACCAATCACACCAGTGGCTTCACTAAAACCCTTCACCTTCTAACCGTCTTTAAAAATCGTTCCTACGTTTTCTTTTTAATTTTCCTCCGTAATTGAAGGTTCTGATCAACCATGGATCAACTCTGCCTGAAGAAGCTCTTTATGCGATTCGATTTCACTCGTTCTACCCATATCACTCCCACAATGCCTACCGACAATTCATGAACGACAAAGATCGTCAGTACGAAAGTGCGGTGCTGGAACTCAAGTGGGTACCCTTTTGTGCTTTCCACAGTTGTTGCCGCATGCACGTTCTTAACTGAAGCCTCATTCTAGTGGCTGTGATCTGTACTCGAAAAACGACGAGAAGCCGGACATCGCAGAACTGAAGCCCTACTATCAATCTCTCATCGATAAATATATTCCTGGACAGGTTAAATGGTAGATGGACCTGGTCCTGGTCAGCAACTGCGATTGTTTTCACGTACCTCGCAATAAATATCTCAAATTTCTGTAGGAAAGGGTTTTTTGAGAGAACAAAAAAATCTGTGATCATCACATCAAATAGAAATTCTGTATCATCAAAAATCAAAAATATCATCAAAATCGTTCACAACCAGAATTTCCTACATAACACTACAAACAGTGGATTCGACGTTCGGTTCGCCCATCGACACTCCCGAATCGTTGCTTTGAGCGGTTCGAAACTTCCCCTTCACAGTCTGTAACCTTGTCAGCGCTCGCCGAATTCGTGATGGTCCTGGACGGAAGGCGTCGATCACCTGAACATTGGTTTGTTGTTCTCTGGACATAATTTCCATTTTCAGGAATATTAGGAGGTAGTCTCCAATTGTGTTGAAGCATTTTGTAGCACATCAACAAGTCCCGGGATTAGCCCGACTAGTAGGGAAGGATTTCCGCGTGAGACTCTGGGGTCTTTACTCTGCGATCACAAATTGCGCCATTAGGGCGCTAACCCTCATAGGCCTGCAACCGTCGACTCCCGTTGCAACGCTCTCCACCCACAGCGAAGTGATGCGGAGATCAGCGTGCCTCCCTCGGCTCGTTTGCCCTTTCGTGTGGCCCTGCCTCGCCCGTCGTTCCACAGACGCCGACGAGTTAAGGCCTCAAGTTAGTTTCAGTTACTTCTCTTGTTGCATTTACATTTTTAGTATTCTTCGCGCAGCTCAGTCATAACTAGTGAACGCTTTACACACCAGTTTTAATTCTTAGGAGCTGTTTTAAAGGGACCAGCCTGGAAAGGATAAAAATGGTGTGTCATGATGATAAGTCGGTGCCCACGAAAGATGAACGCTGTGGTGCGCCATGGCGCTGTTGGCGCAAATCGGGATGCGGTTGACGGCCTTCGAATATTGCTATTTTGAAGGATGTGGAATGTTTCCGCAACATAGCCGTTCAGACAGAGCAAATACTGGTATAGCCGTGTGCAATGATTTGTCGCAGTCACTGGCCGTTGCGCGAATACCAGTTGGAGAATTGGCGTTTACGGTTAACACATCTGTGTTAGGCTGCCATATGTTATCCGTTCGCTCTACGTGTCATGAGCGCGGCGTTGTCCGAGCCAACGCGTTTGTTGCGGGTACTTCAGCGTGCAATACCCGTCACTTGTATCACTGTCGCTCCCGATTGATCCTGTGATTGCTCGAGGGGACGGCGCCAGCAACGGTCTCCAGTGCGTCCTGTAGCGTTCAGAGGTGTCCAGTGGACCCTCCTCGCTCGAGGGACACGAAGTCCATCATTCCTTTCGTTCAGAGCTTTCGTGAAGAAGTCTGACCATCGGGCCGGCGGTCGTCCAGGTGTTCGTTTGACGTCCCGAGGGATCCAGTCGGTAACCGCTCTGGTCCAACGGTCATCGCAAAATCGCATGACGTGTCCGGCCCACCTTATCTTCGATTCCTTGGCGAAAACGGCAGCGTCCCTGATCTTCGAAGATCAGGAATGCATAACCCGTGCCGATAGAAAATCTGATGTCAGGACTATTACAGAACAGCAGTTGTTGTTGAGAGTATAAAAAGGGGATTACTACAGCAAAGAGCGACAAGGCACACCTCACCGCGAAACTGGTGAAGTTTGCACACAAAAATTAAACCAGGGACTTAAAGTGAACTAGCGGCAAAAAAGGAAGAGTGTGTGAAAACACTAAAATCAATGGCTTCCTTATTTCTGTAATCTTGCATTGCCAACGCAATGAAACACTGAGCGTGAAGAATAGAGGATAGGCGAGAGAATACAACAGATGAGAGGGCGCGGAAAACTTCATGTTGCGAATGGGGTAGAATTGAAGCGGTCGAAGTGGCCCAGTGGCCCCAGTGCTCTTGCCACGCATTACTCCTCCTACACAACGGAAGGATTGATGCTCTTGAAACCTGCTGCTAAAAAAGTACCTGCTGCTTTCGTGTCACATTCGCTTTCACCTTCTCCCATACTTCGTCGGTTTCGGTATCGCTTAACTCTTTGTAACCATCAATGGATTGGGTTGGATCTAAAAGGAACCATTTCACAAGCTTTAAGCACCCAGGATAATGAAATGAGTACCTTTCTCGATGCCGACGATTTCCCAAACACTCAGCTTCTCGTTCTTTTCCAGAAAATGAGTTAGCATTTTCATAGATCCACACTCGATTGGTTGATGTTGCCGGAATACGAACAACGAGCTCTGATGCTTCGTGACCGTCCTAAAATGTCAAATGGGAAAAGCAGGGTCAGCAATCAAAAAAAAAGTTCAATGCAAACTGACGTTCGAACGGAATTGGTGACCAGAATTTTTCCCGGTTGACTGGCCCCGCATATTTGCTTGGCGACGTTGACGGTGTGACCAAATATGCAGTATCTTAACAGGCAATTATCAAGTAAGAACAGTGATAGAATACCGAGGAG